TTCAATGTTAATTTTAACTGACACATCTTGTTAATGTGTAATAATTACTTTAACAGAGTTGAATAAAATCTGAATTACTAAACAGAACATTCTCTGGCTATTAGAACAGATGACGTAATTTAACACTTCTTAATTACTGTAAATTTTCTTTGGGCTGTAAATATGATAGTCAAAAATTACTATTATCGTAAATATTTTTGTGTTAATATTTTTAGTATACAAGTATATCATTTTCTGAATTTCGGTAACCTGATTTACTAACTAGCGGTTTTATCTTTGATTTTAATTCTAAACCATATAATATGTGTCATGCATCGTTGCATGCATCTTAACAGTCGTAAATTTGTTCTTTACATTATGAAGGTCGTAATCCACGATATACTTATAGAGAATCGAAATATAATACTATTTCGCAGGATAACAAATGTTAATTCCGTTAATCTAGAAATCAGATAAAAGATGATTCTAGATGAAGAAGTATATTTAATGCTAGCCTCGTGATATCGAAGTAATATCGAGGCCAGAGGGGCACTAGCGGCTAACGTTCAGGAAGGAGACGAGCGGAGGTACAGAATAGGGAAAACACGCTTGGAGCCCGAGAGATAGTCTTTTGTAATGATAAACAAGAGTACAATATAACAATTAATGTCAGAATTAGGTTCAGTAATAAATATTTGTATTTCAGCAATTATGTTTTCGTCCTAAAAGTATGTCACTACATTAGCCTTCTCCCTAGAAACGGTTTACACTTTCGATACGTAGCGGTTTCGTACGGACGGGGGCTGGTCGGCTAACGAGCGATTGTAGGGAGGAAGGGTTGCCGGACAGGAATCGACCAATGAAGCTCGAGTTGTCATCAAAATTCTTTTACGTTTAACTGTACCAATAGTAACTTGCAGAGTTTGGTGCTCTTGTTGGCATGCCACACCAGTGTGGCTCGTATTTAGAGTTTAAAGATTGCGTTAGCAGCTGTCTGGACTTGAAAAAGTTGCAGACGTAGGATGGAACGAGATAGAGCGAGGGAGCGAGAAACGACTAGAACGACCAAGTTCGAAACCATACGTATACGAGAGCATTCAAAACCAAAACATCGACTGAGTGCATTGGGAAGAGCGTGGGTGATCAATCCAGCCTTCACCAAGATCGACTGAGGTCAATTGTACCAACAGGGTGATGGTCGTAGACATGGGCTTAGGATACAAAATGGAAGAAAAAGAGAAAAGTGTAGCATACATTTAGTACGATGATAGGGAACTATCACGTATCCGTTGTTGCCTGGGTGGTTATTTGGGAAAACGCACAGGTAGGCGTACGCGGCGACCGGAACGCGAGACGGTAGTCTCGTGCACACCTCGTGAGCCAGCAATCTCATCCGAAGTCAAGGGAGGTGTAGTCTGCTGATCTGAACGTGAGACCGGAGTATCATCGGTACATAGTGCAGATGACGCGTGCTGTTGACTTGGACGTGAGAATGAGGTCTCTTATGCATCTAGCGTGGGATACATCGTTCTACGAAGCGGTGAGCAACTGTTTCCGCCGTAATATAAATGTTGAGAATAGCTTCGGGCCATCTTGTAAAACGATCGATGCACGTGAGTATGTGATCATACTCATGCGATAGTGGCAATGGTCCTACAATTTCGATATGAACATGGTCGAAGCGAGCATCAGGCGTAGCAAATGTGCCGATGGGGTCGGCTACGTGCCTGTGCACTTTTGATCGTTGACATTGTAAGCCTTGCCTTACCCACATACGAGCGTCTTTGTTCATGGGCGGCCAGACGTATCGTGCAGCGATGAGACGCAATGTGGGTGCGATACCTGGATGAGACAAACCATGAAGGCCATCGAAGACGAGATGACGATGAGCTGAAGGTACGACGGGTCGGGGCAAACCAGTAGAACTGTCACATAGCAGGAATATCAAGCACCGGGGAAGTAACTGCATTTACTTGAATGAATAAGAGAGTATCGGTCACATAGTTCGACTCGCCTTTAATATGACGAAGGTCTGTCGTGAAATGAGATATATTGTCCAAATGTCTGCACTCTCGTGGTGAGTAGCGGTCAGACTTGGTATGCAAAGCATACGTTAGAGGCTTATGGTCGGTGAAGAGGATAAAGTTACGACCTTCTACTGCGTGCCGGAATTGTTTGATGGCCCAGTAGGTTGCTAGCAGTTCGCGACTAAAAGCGCTATAACTCATCTCAGTGGGAGTAAGGCGCCGTGAGAAAAATTCGAGAGGTTGCCAACTTCCAGAGATGTTTTGTTGCATAACAGCTCCTATTGTGAAGTCTGAAGCATCAACCGCTAAGCTAAGCGTCGCTGATGGGTCGGGATGGGCGAGGAGCTTGGCTTGAGCTAAAGCTTTTTTAACCTCAGAAAATTCAGTACGCCCGGCATCGTTCAGTTCTAGTGTGCGTGGATTACCGCGAAATAAGTCGTTCAGTGGTCGTAACTGCTCTGCCGCGTGAGGAATGAAGCCTCGGTAGAAGTTGACAAGACCGAGAAAAGCCTCCAGTTCTTTGAGTGAAGACGGCACAGTGTACTCCATGATTGCACTTACTTTATCTTCACAAGGTAGGATACCCTCATGCTTAATGATGTGACCGAGGAATTTTATTTCTGTCTTGCCGAGTTCACACTTCTCTGGGTTGATTATTATTCCATTATCCGAGAGATGTTGGTATAAGAGTGTAAGATGTTGATGATGTTCATCTACGTTTGATGATGCAGTTAACAGGTCATCAATATAGGCGTGAACAAAATCAAACTCTCGTACTATGCTATCGATAAACCTTTGAAAAGTTTGAGCTGCATTCCGTAATCCGAATGGCATTCGTAGGAACTCAAAAAGACCGAAAGGATTCTTAACAGCAGTTTTCTCACTATCCTCATGAGCGTCTGGGATCTGATGATATGCTCGAACTAGATCAATCTTAGAATAAATGGTCGTGCCCTTGAGTGATGCCGTGGTGTCGTGCATGTGTAGGCTGGGATAGCTATCGAAACGTGTTGCTATATTTAATGCTGGGTAGTCGCCATATGGTCGCCGATGTGGTGTACCACATGATGAGTCACCGATAGATTCTTCTCGAGTGGTTTAATTAGCTGGGAAAAATTTCGAGTAAAGCGTGGAAAATGTCATCACGCGAATGAAATACCCCTGTAATTCGGTACTCACCTGTTTGAGCTAGAAATCCCATAAATTTTCTGTTCGACGAAGTATCGATTAGCTGCAGCCTAAATGAATCGACTAGCAATTCATAGTGCTGTAGGAAATCGATACCGAGTATAGCTGTGGGAACATCAGCGATGATGAACGTCCACAGATACTGTAGTCGCTTCCTCAGGTTGACCGTTAGCTGTCGTGTACCATAGATAGGAATGACAAAGCCATTCGCAGCGCGTAATCGAATCATTGTAGTTTGGGACTTGCTGCTACCTAATGGCACGACAGAAACTTGTGCATCTGTATCAGCAGGCGCTCGTGCGGATATCGTGTACGTAAAATAAGCGGCCGACCTGAGGTGATTGGCCAGCACGTAGGGCCGCGTTTACTCGCCGGCTTGGAAGTTTCCCGCCTTGTATGGGCAGAGAGCTCGACAATGGCGGGCGCCGGACCGAAAAGTCCGGTGGAACCAGCACCAACCGGTACTCGCTTCCGAAGCCGCCTTTTGGCGTGGCTTGGAAGATGCCCGCTGAAGGCGACTACGTGTAGCCTTTATTGAGCGCGAGCGGGCTCATAGGACGTGGGGTCCAGGTACATTCGAACGATCTCGAATACGGCAATCCCTATTCCTTTGAGCCTTAATATGATTGGCATCGAGATCCACGTTCGTATGTCACATGGACGCAGCCATATAGTTGTCTCGATTGCTAGTTCGCTCATTGTATCAGTTTGCCACGAGGGCAAACCTGCTAAGTGGCATGTCTTCGGGCAGAGCGGCAACCGTAGGCTTTACATATTCTGGTAACGATTCGAGCCACAATTCTTTGACTATATCAGAGTCAGCTCCTGTATGTCCTGCCAGGGATTGCAGGCGCGTGAGGTGGTGGCTCGGTTTAGCATCACCCATAGAGTGACGTGCTACAAGTGTCCTCAAACGTTCCTGTCTCGACGGGAGGAAATGTTTGCTAATGGCATGCTTGAGACGATTGTAGGCATCTGGTACAATGGATTCGGGGACCACATCACAGACATCCCCAAGTAGAGATTCTAGGGTATAGGCATACATTTGCCGCTGGTCTGTAATGCGGCGGATCTCGATAAGAGCCTTCAGCGCCGCGAACCAGACCTCTGGATCGGGGGGAATAAATGAAACAGTTCGGAAATTGATAACCTGCAGTTAGGAGTCTGTCATATTATCGTCATTTTTGAAGCTATCCATCGTTATTTATTATTAATTCGCTGTCGCTAGTTTAATATATATACGGGCGTATAAATTTAAGAATATTATGAAAAATGGACAGGAAAATGACAGACTCACAGGATCTGACTCGTTCGTAATAGATTTGGCCAAAATTTATTGCGTATTTCAAATCGTAGCTCACCAATGTAGCTGTTGGGATGCGATTGCCAAGTGGGAACTCCCAAACGAATCGAAACCAAGAATACTGGCGTTATAGAATAAGGATATTGATTGATTAGAAGTCGCATGATATAAAAATGATGTCACATGTACAGCCAGACAGTGAAGTAACTAGAACGACCGATTCAGCCACAGGATTGGGAAGGTTGGACCTTGAGTTATGGCTTTTGGTCAAGATGAACGAAAGATGTACAATAAAACAATTATTGTTATTTTGTTAGAACAGTGAGAAGACGTAATTGGTGCGAAACCGCTCAGAAGTTATATCTCACGGTTCATTCGTGAAACGAGATTCTCAGACACGCATTTCGGTGATTCGTACAAAGTTCTTCTCGGTAAAATTCTAAATTACAAGAACTATCAAAAACTATCGAGACAAAAGAAACAAAACTATATGAAAGCGCTAGATTTAACCTCACAAAATGACCTTCAACGGTCAAGGTCTGAGTGAGAGTGATTTGGGGAAAGATGCTAACGTTTTATTAATGGAGCTAAACAAAGGTATTTTCACTAAGCCTAAGTATCATCTATCCTTTTAGGTCTTCAGTCGACAAATATTGGTATTCAATGCAAGACGATCGCACAATTTCCTTCTGTTCTTGAGAAATACCCTTTCCCTGTTGTCATTAACTCAATACTTTTAAAAATCACGCAAATATTCTGCAATGGGTAAGTGATTTTCGAGATTATTTTTCTCTTAGGAATAATTATCTCCGTCTCTGTATTTTGCGTGCATGCACTGAATGTAGAACTCACTTCAAAAAACTCACAGTTTGTGAAGATATCATCCGTAAATTACTGCCTTTTACAGAAAGTAATGACCCAACTGTTCGAGCTTTAACTTTACGGTAGGTTATTTTTAACCTTACTTTGAATGTACAGGCTCTTTGGAATCTTACATGAGATTACCCGCGATCATCTTGGTGTTCATCATGCGATTCTGAAACAGATAGAGTCTCATTATGAAGTTGAATCGGATGCTGCCATCTGGGCATGTCACACGATCGCACCTATATCCAGGTACTTTCTACAATGTCACTAATCCTTTTTTAGTGTATTCGCTGCAAGCCTTTGTCCTATATTATGTAAAATACTTAATAACTTGTCGATAGATTTGGGTACAAAGCTGAAGTTGATATACCTAGGAAAACATATGCACCATGACTCTATTGTTGCAAAGGAGGTTTGTACGAGTTCACAATTCACATATTTCTCAGATACGTCAATGCTTGACAGCAATGCTTGAAACTTACAACACTACAGATTTTGTCACTGGAATTTTAGATACACTAACAGTTTTAGAAATCCATGCTCCTTTACATGTAAATGTTCAGGTAAGCTCATCGCAATTTGCAAAATTCAAACTCTGTGAACACGCTAGAACAAATGTTCATTCTTATGATGTATTTTTCGGTCAAGTATCGGCTATATAAATCACCTTTATGATTAAGTTTCTCATTACTTACCGAATAATAGATGTGGAGAATTACCAAAAAGCTGTTTACCTTTAGCTTGTAAAGTTCCCATAAACCTACGATTCTGCATTTTTATTTTACTAGAATTGTTGTCTTGCTTGTGGTTTCAGCAGTCATTAGAACTACCTAATTATAAGTTCCGCTGAGATAAGGTAACATACTTATTCATGAGTTTTCGACGTTTAATGAGTAGCTATCTTCCTAACCCCACTCAATTTTTTTAGCTAGTGAGAGTTCATTGGCATCATCTAGAAGTTTTAAATTTAAAATGTGTATAAGGTTATTTAAGTAAATTTTAAAAAGTATGCGAAGTTCATGTTCGCATGTCGCCTCATCCGTAGACCCCCTTGGATTCACTTAAAAAGTCGTGTCCGGAAAATAGATTGGGAACAACAAAGTAGAATAAAATTATTTAAAAGTAGCATTGAACTACTGTAGAAGAATAAACCTAAAAGTTCTGATCGAACAAACCGTAATATTTTTATCACGAAAAGTTAAGATGGTTTGGCGACTTGTCAAGTTTCGTTGTTGGACCCAGCTATCCTTATTACTTAGCACCCTTCAAATACTTTAATTCGTTCTACAGGTCCTCAAAATCAGAATACGGCTTTTATAGGTACGCAATCATGTTCTAAATAAACTAAGTTAAATAGGAGTAAGTCACAGTAAAAAAGTTTGTATATCCGTAATTTTACACAGAAATATTCTACAATCTTCTTCTGTCTTCTAGCTACAGTCGACTAAAAATGGGTCGTTCTGTGTGCTCCAACTTCATATTACATCGAATATGCACTAATCCGGTATATGGTCTGCTAAAAGCTAAGTTATTTACTAAATCTGTGCACCTGTACTGATGGTTATCTAGCTCATAATTGTCAGAAAAGGTAACAAAATATTCAGAAGTACTATGCAAAACAATAAGCCGAAAATCGATCATAGACGAGCGGTACCTGTTGACTTAAAGTATTTATAGAAAAAATGAAAAACAGGTAATAATGAATGTTTTTTGTTTACTAGTTCTCATAGCATCGGATTCTATGTAAGTCATTTCAGTAATACAAAAAAAGGTCTTTTAGCTGTAATTATGGGCAAGTTCTGAATGAATATCATGTTTTTCAGATTTATTTTAAATAATAAAGTATTTACTCTTGAATTGATCTTCAAATATTTTTTTTAAATACACAGATTGACCTTCTTATCAAACGTCTATCTATAGAAAAAAGACCTCCACTTCGTCAAAGTGTCCTTTGGAATCTTTTAAGCTTAGCTGAAAATGTGTCACATCATTTTGAGAAATCCCATATCCTTGTAAGTTCTAATGTGATTTATTGCAAATATTTTTCAAAATGATTAACTCATAGCTACTAACATCCATTAGATTTCAAACTATCAAACTAAAGAATTAACTAAGCACAATGCCGTATTAAATATGTAGTTTTTCATTTCTATACTTGCTTCGGTAAAGAGGAAACTGCTAGCAAATATGTACGTATACATTTTAGGGGTTTAAACTTTCCGCCAAGTAATTTTGGTGTTACTATTCGTTTACGGTAGAGAGTAGTTGTTTTCTTGTATTATACTGCTTGATGTAACTGACAAATATCCATCTCTTTTTTCTTTAATAACTGATCAAATACGTAGGCTCTAGTGTCCTACAAACTTTTCCAATTGTAAGTGTTTACTACATGCGATGATAGAATGTTATAAATATTTTTGACTTGAACGCTTGAAATACCTAAAAACTATTCCACTAAACTATAATAAAATTAATTTTCACAAATTGCTGTAGTGGAAATTACTGCTGTCTTCCTCATTATTAGCAAAATACTAATATACGCTTCAGAAGTGATGACGTTAGGACAGATGAATTAATCCTTTGTGTTCTCTAAAAGCTGTCACATACTTTTAATCGGTTTGTTTTTGTTTTTTACAAAGGTTTTTTATTCCTTGATTGCTAATACTTTACTTACTGTTGATGTTATTATTACTATTGTTATTATCAATAACTGACGAAATCTCAGCGCGGATACAGAAAGCTCGATTGGCTTTTACCAACCTGCGTCACTTATGGCGTAGGCGTGATATCCGTTCGCTAACCAAAGGACGGGTGTACTGCGCAGCAGTTCGCTCCGCTCTCCTATATGGCTGTGAAACCTGGCCGTTAAGAGTAGATGTTCGTAGCTTAATAGTATTCGATCATAGATGTTTAAGAAGCATTGCTCGTATATCGTGAGACAACCGAGTAAGCAATGCTGTCGTTAGGAAACGAGTACTAGGTAAGGATGGCAGATCAATTGATGAAGAGGTGAAACTTCAGCAGTTGAGGTGGTTGGGACATGTGTTACGTATGGCTAACCACCGAATGCCTCGACGAGCTATGTTTTGTGGTGTAGGAATATGTTGGAAGAAAGTTAGTGACGGCCAGACCAAAACATGGCAGAAATCCATGAAGTCACTGACTAGTGGACTGAGTGATGTTGGTAGATGTAGGCTACCTGGTTGGGGTCCGCGAGACGAAAGCCACCAATGGTTAGAGACCTTGAACGACATGGCTCAAAATCGTTTGCAATGGCGCAAGTGCATCCATTCTTTGAGCTCTCTCAAATCCGAATCTTCTGGATTCGTCAGCACCTCTACGTTCGTCTTTTTATAACCTTATCTCAATGAATTATACTTCTTGAATAATATCTTCAAACCCTAGTCTTCTTCATTACCATTAATACCTCTACTATCTTTATCACTATGGGATTTGATTTGACATTTGCGTCTCTGTGCTAATGTGGTATGGCAACATGAACTTATGTACATACATACGAAGTTTTACGTTACAACTGACTGACTGACTGACTGATTGTTATTATTGGTATCAGTATGAAGGTTGGACTTGATAGTTTCAAACAAAACCAGCATTGGATGGGAAGTTAATTAAAACTTTTGGTGATATCCCAATGATTGGAAATTTGTATTTTTTTGATGTTTCGTGACTTGATGCTAATCACTTCTGCAAAGTAAATAGATAAGTAACCGAAACATATTAATGCAAGGTTAAAACAGTGAAAAGGAAACAAAGCATAAACCTTAACCCCCTTATATATACAAAGAACAGTTTAAAGTTTCATACAAAATCACCCTGACTGAAATTAACATAATACTGACAAGTTCAGACCTATTATGATTGGTACTGCTTTTAATACTTAAACTTGTGTTAATTTGTTATGGTTACTTATTTATTTAATCTGAAGAGATGACTTGCAGCATTAAGTCACAAAACGTCGGAAACACACGTCTGTTCATTGGAATAGTACCAAAAATTGTACTTATTCTGTTATTATTATTATAGCTTATTTTCCTTTTATCTTGTTCATTTCATTTCATTGGTCCTAGGTTCAATACGATTTACTGCTGCCCGATTATTTTCCACTTAATTTTCATTGAGTATCTTCGTTTAAGATCATAACTGACACTTAATCGATAACAGTGTGAAGCTACATGACACTGCTGTGCTCTGTAAAATTTATAAACACTATTTTGTTTTAATGAACGATATAAGCCATTTATTATAGTTAATCTTCTTTGAAAGTTAAATATTGGGATTAGATTTTAAGGACTTCAAGATATCAAGCTTATAGATATTGGCGTTATGTGTAAGTTGGTAGATAACTTTATGAAGTTCAGATTTCTATCCCATTCACAAACAATTAGTTAGAAGACAAGTGCTACCATGACCGAGATTGTTCGAAGAACTATTACAATAACATGGAGTAACTGATGTTTATATCATTTTAGTCTCCTTCAGAAGTAGGCTCTACAATCCTTACTACTGTACGTGATCAATAATTGTATTGAAATACAGTATTTATATTTATATTTAGTAGTGTTTACCTTTTGAAAATGTAATTAATTTGGAAATTATACATTAAATTTTTGATCATTATTTCAAATAATGCCAGCTTGAAGTTAACTACTTTCTGAATAATTTATTCACACTGTCAATGTTAATATTGCCCGATTTTTCTTTCAGGAGTTGAGTTCCCTTTACCATGGTGAAGACTGTAGCAAAATGGATAAGACATTAATTTTAAAAATTTTCTATTGCCTTACTACATCATTCCATTCTGTTGAGTTTCTCACATTACCGTCTGGAGAAGAATCGAATTCTGTCGCATGTAAGACTAGTTTTTCTGCTATGTTGTGTGTATATAGTACACTTTCTATCTTGAGCAAAATGAACCCAATGTTTCATTGTAACAAGAATTACTGACAACTAGATTGAGTCATGTTGGTAAGTGTAAACTACTTGGTTGGGGTCCTCGAGATGATGGTTAGAGACCCTGAATGACATGGCTGAAAACCGTTTGCAGTGACATAGGTGCATTCATTCTTCGTGCTCTCTCAAATTCTAATCCTCTGGATTCTTCACCTTTATCTTTTTGTTTTTAAGTTTTTTTTCAGTAGATTATACTTCTTGAATAATATATTTGAACTCTAATCTGTCATATTACTGCTAATGTTTATACTACCTCTACTACAGACAGAACTTCGTACGTACGTACATCAGTTCACGTTGCCATACCACATCAGCACAGAGACGCAACTGTCAGTTCAGATTCAAGAGTGATAGCGATAGTAGAAGTATTAGTAGTAATGGAGAAGATTAGGGAGCAAAGATATGATTCAAAAAGTATAATTCAGTAAGATAAATTTAGAAGGAGAAAGATAGAGATCATAAAGAATTCAGGTTAGCATTACAGAGAACACAAAGAGTGGATGCACCTGCGCCATTGAAAACGATTCTGAGCCATGTCGTTCAAGGTCTCTAACCATTGGTGACTTTCGTCTCGCGGACCCCAACCAGGTAGCCTACATCTTCCAACATGACTCAGTCCACATGTTTGTGACTTCATGGATTTCTGCCATGTTTTGGTTTTGCCTCTACTACTATGGGATTGGAATTGACAATTTCGTCTCCGTGTTAATGTCGTATGGCAACATGAACTGATGTACGTACTTACGTAAGAAGTTTCACGTTGTTACTGACTGACTGATTCTTCTGAAATTAAACCAAACTAAATCTTAATGCTGTTAGAATGAGCTGCAATCTACCTACTATCAATAAGTAGTGTGGTTAATTTCTTCGTAATAAATTTCGGATATATTTCTGATTGAAAAGTAATAAATAAAATTGTAACGAGCATCTTGTGTCATCTCATCTTGACCACAGCTGCATAAAGATCGAATTGATTAATTTGTTGAATTTTTTTCCAGGTTCGTAGAAAGTTGTACATTTCTGAGGAGTTGAAATATGAAATATTCAACAATAAATAGTAAATTTAGAGTATCAAATCTATCATGAATAAAATAGTCTTTGGAAATGTCCGTTAAGTCGGAGGTAACTTATACCAATTAGGGAAACTATTATATCGTCGAATTTTCACACTAGTTAAATGAAAACATGAAAATCCTTGCCATTGTTTATGAACTTATGATAATTATCCAGTTTACGAATCAAATCATTGACATGGTTGTTAAATCATTTAGTTTCAAATTATACAGTTACTGATTTGAACCCACTTTAATTGAATTTCGCTTGAGTGGCCGGCTATCACTACTCAAACTCTAAAACACTATGGTGTACTCGATTACTGCGGTCCATAACTGACCAAGTACAAGTGTATTCTGAAAATGATCTCAGTCCCTTGTGTTGTTATCAGACTGATGAGAAATATAAATATATACATGTAGTGTGTCTATGCGTGAAATAATTTTTGATATCGATTTATTCAATTTCAGATTATACTCCTGTTGATTGTATCAAAAGTGCACTAAAAGACACGTCATCTTATCTTCTGATTCATGCAATTCAACTAGCTTGTAAGCTTACTGTATTAAAAGGTGAAAGTGATCAATTGCAGAATACTGAAGATGAAAATTATGAAATCTCTATAGATAATGATAATATTATATTTCAATTTAAACCGGGACAATTAATTCAACTGCTCTTACATCCATATACTCCTGTTAACGAAGAGGGAGAAGCAGCAGTAAACAAACCAAAAATACTCTGGTATCTTTATGACAGTCGGATTTCTGTTGATGATTTAAAGGTTAGTTGGATTTGATTCAATAGTCTTTGGATTTATGACATTTATACATGTATCTGTGTCATATACACTAGCTTAGGGTTTTAGCGGCTAACGACTGGGTCCCAGTGTCGACGAATGGTCGAGTGTGCAATGAAACAAATCTTCCTGTCCATTTTTGCATATCATGCTTAGGCAGACAATGTTTTTGCGACGGCGGTAGTAAGAAGCCAAATACGGTGTTGGGGATTAATTTATTGTATTCATTCATCTATGCAAATAGGCTTGAGAATGGGAAGCGTAAAGGCAAAGCGAAGCGAATTGGAGAAGGCCAGTGAGACAAGTCTCCGTGTGCTGAAGAATGGAGTATTTATAGTCAAGCAATAATAGGCTAGACGTGTAATAATCGAGTAAGCATTCACACAAACAATAAAACATACAATAATCGATACTATTATCGAATTATTACAAATACAAAATAACGGTTGCTACATTTACCGAATATTTTAATCGACAAATCATAGATGTACAATGGATGAATGGTGAAATGTTACAAGGGTTTATTAGTCCCACTAAGTTGTTGATCCAAGTTTTTATTCTAACATATCAGTCGTTGACACCGTATCAATTAAAATAACAAAGCCTACTTACTATGTGTAATCAGTTTTCGACGAGGTTCGTGTACTCTCCTTTTGCTTCGATTCAACTAGTTGGTTTTATGTACTGCCAGCATGTGCATTAATTTATCCGATCTAACTATATTACTAATGAGTAGCTATTCTTTTGTAATACAAATTTCCTTGCGGAGTTTCGTCAATTCGACAGGCACATGTTCGATTGCATAAAAGTAATTGTTCCTTGTCTCACTAATGTAAATGTAACTCTGTTGTTTAAAAGTATAATAATTATATGTTCCGAGAAATCGATTGTTACTTCTTGTCTGATGTTCCTTGGTTTCCGTACTTTTAAAATCCGTACAATGGATTGGTTGGAATCAAGATGTTCCAAGATGTTCGTGCTAAAATTAAGTCTCCTGACTATCTTTATTGGACATTGAAAACATCAATCAATCATTGTTAGACCATCATTAGCAACCTGAAAGCGCTGGACGGTCGTTTCGTCCTGCTAAAGGACTCCTAAGCTGTGCGCATCCACTACTACTCTTGCTACTCACATGATTTGACATCAAGTTTTGTTATCCAGATAAAACAGATTATAGTCTTCGGATGAATAGATTATATTCATCTAGCACAACTTTTTCAAGTTTTTTTACTTGTTGTTAGGATGAAATCCTGGCGATATGTTATGTTACAGAGTGTATATCTTGTTTGACCATCATAATGTGTTCATTTGTCCGTTGATATTATAATTATTATTACATCAATTTCTTTGCATTTCTGCATTTTTTAATTCCGGTGAAATGTCATAATTTAAGCTGATTAAAATGTATGCCAAATCCTTCGTTATCAATGTTTAACTAAAATCTTTTATGATTTATGCAGTACACTAGATGTATATTTTCCTTGTTGAAAAATCTTATCTTTTAATTAACTTAGTTAATTGGCTCATTTCATTATAATTAAATCTTTAATCATACATCTCTTTTAAAATGTTCAGGACATATATGTGTATCTGCTTCTGCTGAGGATGTTAGATCCCAAGAACTCGCTTGATAAATGGCTTATCTTGGATTTCACGTTTGCCAGCATGGGTTGATCAGTTGACCTTGAGATTTCATTTCTCACTAGGAAAACTCATGGCTGTGATTGGCTGCTGTGTATTTTAGTGTGCTATTTTTGTGACTGTCCCATGGAAGTTTCTATGATGTATAAATAAACGAGGGCTCTGTGCTTGATTGTATTGTTCTGGCTGGGTGTTGTAGAATATACTTTCTACGCTTATCAAGACTTCTGTTTTACAGTTTGGGATCAAGGTAGCCTATTTGGACGCTGGTAATTGTCTCGTTCACTTTTATCGACTAAGGTGAACTCGTCATAGCTTCAAGCGTATCTATTGATGAACTTAACAGCTTCTTTAGCCATTCTTTTACAATCTTTCCTTATTAAAGTATGACAATATCTGCTAGGAAATCCAGAACACACGTTTCATCGCTGAGTGCAAGTTCTGATGTGAACATCAGTACTGCAATATAAGCATATTCAGCTAACGAATTCTGAATAAGGAGAACTGTACATCCTTGATCTTACTGCTAGATATTATCCAACTTTAATGTAAATCTAAATTAGTCTTTGCTGCTTTTATTTTATTTTATCTATCCATCATGCATTGAATTATCAAGCTTGAATGCATAGCATTTTTTTTCGTTCATTGTCATTGTCAAACAAAATTACTTTGTGAGTAGTAGTTTTTAGTCTATTGTAATCTGTTTGTATTTTCTATCTGTTTTAGTGTACTTATAATCTACTTGTGGAATTCTTTAGTACTTTTCCATCTTATGCCTCACAATTGCATAAAATGAACTTCCTTGACGCGATAAAACTTGGTAAGTTATTCATTGATTTATATATATATATATATATATATATATATATATGTATTAGGGGGTTGTGAACATTGTTACGTTACACATTTTTGAAACCATGAATCGATCAATGTTAGACCACCAATAGAAATATATATATATATATCATGTATAAAATTAGCTGTTCATCAAATAAATCCTCTGAATAATACTCATTACTTTCTCATCATGAGCCTCTTAAATTATCTTGAAAAGTTTCTACTAATGTTTGCTTTCAAACCTATCAGAAAGAAAATCATCTTCACTAAATTACAATTGACTTAATGATGAGACATTCTAAATCAAATTATCACAGTTTATGAATTATTAGACAATTATCATGTAAATTCTCTAATGCAAAGCTCATCAAATTTAATCTAGGATTATTGGTTATTTTAGATTGAGAACTAAGAGAGTTATTTCCTATCATGAATAATAATAATAACTATAATCGGATTGTGTTAGTGTCAAGTTTCTTGAAGCAGATTTTGTTGAGAGGTGATTCGTTTAGATGTTGATATTCTACTGATTTTGCGTGATGAATTAGGGATATTTTCAATTCGAGACTGTAATTCAAACTAATATTACTACTACTGTGGTGCGCGCTACTCATAAGTAGTATGTGACGCGAGTAAAAACGTAATGTCTGGCAGCAGAAGATGGGGGAAGATCAAGAAAGGAAGAATGGGAGCACAATGGAATTTGTATGAAACGCATGAATAGTGAAATGTCAGACAATGTATTGATGATGGATTGAAGATTTGCAAATTAACCGTTTACGATATGGTTTTCCTATTTTATTGAGTAACTCTGTAATTTCCGTTAAATACAATTCGGTTGCCCTCACCCGTGTTCTCCTTCACTACATTTGGTGTCGTGGCCTTCACGAAGGAGGGAGCTCCCGTGGCCGAAGGAGTTTGAGGACGGAGATTTTCGGAGCTTCCTGGAGGAGTTTGAGGCCGTGGTGGGGCTGGTGGGTGTGAAGGGGCCCGGGGCGGTGTTGGTGGTGACGCTGCGGGGAGGTGATGCAAAGGCTGTATACGACAGCTTGGACGGTGTTCTCCTTCACTACACTACTATGACTGTGTGATTTGAATAATTTTACTGAATAATATTTGCTTTCTCCAGATAGATACTCAGTCAACCAGTTTTCCAGTGTAATTGACCGCACTGATTAAGAATGCGATATAAACGCTTGTATATTTTTACTAAGTAATAATTTTTCGCAGTTACAAAATGTTATGATATGCAATGTCAGAGATTTGAACTTGATACGCGCTACACCCTCACGAACTGACTACTTGAGCGCGAAGTCAAAAGTGAAAGAAAATGTCTAATTGGTTACCGAATAATATATTCATTTCTATCCATTAAGAAATAAATCCATTTGTCAACCAGCGATATGCATCCGTCCTTTAAAACGTATCTGATGATTATCAAATAGCCTTCTCATTTGCCCACTTCATTACAAAACAGTTGTTGTCTTCCGATATTTCTTTGACGACGTAATAAGAATCAAGTCAGTCAGTTACTCAGCTGCAACGTAGAATTTCGAACGTACATAAATCAGTTCAAGTCGCCATACCACATTAGCACAGAGATCGAATTGTCAATTCAAATCTCATAGTAATCGAGATAGTATAATTATTAGCAGTAATGGAGAAGATTCGGGATCGAAGATATTATTCAAAAAATATAGTCCAGTGAAATAAGTTTAAAAAGAGAAAAAAAGATTATGAGGCATCCAGAAGATTAGAATTTAAGAGAACACAAAGAATGAATGCATCTGCACCGTTGTAAACGATTTCGATCCATGTCATTCAAAGTCTATAATTATCGGTTACTATTTTCTCGCGGACCTTAACTTGTTAGTCTACACCTACTAACATGACTCACTCCAGCTGTCAGGGCCTTCATAGATTTGTGCCACGTTTTGGTCTGGCCGCCCCTAGCTATCTTCTAGCCAACCCCTCTACATCAGGCATCATCGCTCGTCGAGGCAGTCAGTGGTTGGGCATCGGTATTACATATCCCAACTACTTCGACTGAAGAAGTTTCACTACTTCATCCATTGATTCGCCATCCTTATCTAGTACCCATTTCCTAACACCAGAATTGCTTACTCGGTGGCCCCATGATATACGACCAATGCTTCGAAGATACCCACGATCGGAAACCAATAACCTACGAATATCGTCGCTTCTTACTAGGAATCAAGTAATTAGAGAATAGCGCTTGTATGCATGCTAATTATGTTAGTAGTTTATTTAAATTTATTTATATCACCATCCGCATCAGCTCGGTCGTATTAGTTTTCGTCAAGAAGAAATGAATTCTTTTCTGTAGACATTTGTTTTATCATATTCTAAAATGAATCCAATGTATGATGTTTTTTCAATAGAAATTTTGTTGTAAGAATTAAGTTAAAACTTGGAACATCTGTTGACTAACCATGAAGTCATTGACGAGTGGACTTAGCCATGTCGGTAATTGTCGACTACCTGGTTGGGGTCCGCGAGAAGATAATAATCGATGGTTAGATACCCTGAATGACATGGCTCAAAATCGTTCGCAATGGCGCCGGTGCATTTATTCTTTGTGTTCTCTCAAATTCTAATCTTCTGCATTCTTCAACCCTTCTAGTTTCGACTTTCTAAACTTATCTCATTGAATCATACTTCTTGAATAATATCTTCTAATCCTAACCTCTCCAATTACTTCTAATACCCTTACTACCTCTTCTACTATTGGATTTGAATTGACAATTACATC